ATCTGCAAACATGGACACTTCTGAGTCCATCCCTTCCATCATGTCATTCACATATTCCAAAAATAGCACTGGTTCTAGGACTGACCCCTATGGGACCCCAATCGTCACAGGAGCCCACTGTGATACCTCATCATATACCATTACTCGTTGTTGCCTCCCTGTCAGGTATTCTCTGATCCATTGCAGTGCCCTTCCTGTTTTACACGATTGATCCTCTAGCTTTTCCACTAATCTATTGTGAGGAATTGTGTCGAGGGCCTTCCTGCAGTCCAGAAAATGCAATCAACACACCCCTCTCTCTCGTGTCTTACTTCTGTTACTTTGTCATAAAACTCCAGAAGGTTTGTGACACAGGATTTGCCTTCCATCAATCTGTGCTGGCTGTCGTTTATAATTTTGTTCCGTTCCAGGTGCTCCACCACTCTCCTTCTGATAATCTTCTCCATGACTTTGCATACTATACACGTCAGTGACACTGATCTGTAGTTTAGTGCCTCTTTTAGTGTCTGCTTTCTTAAAAATGGGGACTACTTATGCCGTCTTCCATACCTCGGGTAGTTGCCCAGTTTCAACGGATGTGTTGAAGATTGTGGTTAGTGGCACACAGCATCTCGGCTCCTTCTCTAAGGACCCACGGGGAGATGTTGTCCGGTCCCATCGCTTTTGAGGTATCAATTTCACTTAGCAGCTTCTGTAACCCCTACTCAGTTGTGTGTATGTCATCCAACACTTGTTGGTATATTCCCTGTTGGTGTTTCCCTCTGTGCTGTCGTCACAGAGCCCTTCCTATCTCTACCGAAAATACTTTCTTGAATCTTGTGTTGAGTTCCTCACATACCTCTTGAGCGTTTCTTGTGAGTTCCCCACCTTCTTTTCTCAGCCTGATGACCTGGTCTTTGACTGTTGTCTTCCTCCTAATGTGGCAATATAGCAGTTTCAGGAAAGACTTGGCTTTCGATGCTATGTTGTTTTCGTACTGTCGCTGGACCTCCTTCCTAATCTGTGCATATTCCTTCCTGGCTCTTTGACTAATCTCCTTTTTTCCCAGGGTTCTTTGCCTTCTGTACTTTCTCCATTCTCTAGTGCACTTAGGTTTTGCCTCACTTCACCTTCGGGTAAACCAGGGGTTCGTTCTGGTCTTCCCATTATTTCTGTTGCCCTTGGGAATAAATTTTTCCTCTGCCTCCTTGCATTTTGTTGTTACATATTCCATCATTTCGTTTATCGACTTTCCCATCAATTCTCTGTCCCACTGAACCTCCTGCAGAAATTTCCTCATACCTGTGTAGTCCCCCCTTTTATAGTGTGGCTTTTCCCATTCAACTCCTGTTATCCTCTCCAACTGTAGCTCTAAGTATGCAAAGTACAGAACCACGTGATCACTAGCTCCAAGGGGCCTCTCACATGTGATGTCGTCAATGTCTGAACTGCCCAGGGTTCATCCTCCTCTCTCTCTCCGGTAGTGTCCTTAACATGTTGATGCATGAGGTTTCCCAGTACCACATCCATCATCTTGGCTGTCCATGTTTCGGGACCCCCGTGTGGCTTCAGGTTTTCCCAGTCGATTTTCCTGTGGTTGAAATTGTCCACAACCAGTAACTTTGCTCTGCTTGAGTGAGCTCTTCGTGCCAACTCAGCCAGTGTGTCCACCATTGCTCTTTTACTCTCTTCATATTCCTTTCTTGGCCTCCTGCAGTTCTGTGGTGGATTATACATCACTGCACTGTATGTGTGTGTGTGTGTGTGTGTGTGTGTGTGTGTGTGTGTGTGTGTGTGTGTGTGTGTGTGTGTGGTGTGTGTGTGTGTGTGTGTGTGTGTGTGTGTGTCTGTTTGTGTGTGTGTGTGTGTGTGTGCGTGTGCGTGCGTGTGCGTGTGTGTACTCACCTAATTGTACTCACCTAATTGTGGTTGCAGGGGTCGAGACTCAGCTCCTGGTCCCTGCCTCTTCATTGACCACTACTAGGTCCTCCCTCTCCCTGATCCATGAGCTTTATCATACCTCGTCTTAAAACTATGTATAGTTCCTGCCTCCACTACATCGCTTGCCAGACTATTCCACTTCCTAACTACTCTATTACTGAAGAAATACTTCCTAACATCCCTTTGACTCATCTGAGTCTTCAGCTTCCAATTTTGACCCCTTGTTTCTGTGTCCCATCTCTGGAAAATCCTGTCTATGTCCACCTTGTCTATTCCACGCAATATTTTGTATGTCGTTATCATGTCTTCCCTGACCCTCCTGTCCTCCAGTGTTGTCAGACCGGATTTCCCTTAACCTTTCTTCATAGGACATTCCCCTTAGCTCTGGAACTAGCCTTGTTGCAAACCTTTGCACTTTCTATAATTTCTTGACGTGTTTGACTAGGTGTGGGTTCCAAACTGGTGCTGCGTACTCCAGTATGGACATGACGTACACAGTGTATAAAGTCTTGAACGATTCCTTACAGAGGTACCGGAACACTATTCTCAGGTTTGCCAAGCGCCCATATGCCGCAGCAGTTATCTGGTTAATGTGTGCTTCTGGCGATGTACTCGGTATTATACTCACTCCTAGGTCTTTCTCCTTGAGTGAGGTTCGCAGCCTTTGGCCTCCTAGCCTATACTCTGTCTGCGGTCTTTTTTTGCCCTCCTCCGATCTTCATGACTTTGCATTTGGCGGGGTTAAATTCTAGGAGCCACTTTCTGGACCACATATCCAGCCTGTCCAGGTCTCTTTGTAGACCTGTCTGGTCCGCGTCTGATTTGATTCTCCTCATTAACTTCACCAAGAATAGCACTTGTCCCAGGACTGACCCTTGTGGAACCCCGCTCGTCACCGGCTCCCACTGTGCGTGTGTGTGTGTGTGTGTGTGTGTGTGTGTGTGGTGTGTGTGTGTGTGTGTGTGTGTGTGTGTGTGTGTGTGTGTGTGTGTGTGAAAACCATACACTACCCCTATGCATATTATTTTCGAGTAATCCACATGTAACAACTCAGAAGCGGACCTGATACAAGGAGAATATAATCAGTGGGAAAACTTAGATGAAAGTCAATAAACTGAAGGTGATTAGCAAGGTAAAATACAAAGTGGTGGGTTTGAGTGTGCACTTGCATTGAGTAGCGAAACTGAGACGTAAAGGGTTGATTTACGAGTTTAGTTTGAGAGTGTACAGAGACAGTTTCTGGGTAGCAGAGGATGGATCCATGTGGGAAGAGGATTGAGCGGTGGAATGATCAGCATAAACGATGATAAGGGAGAAAAAAATTAGTAGATGAAAGATTTTACATTAATGGGGTGATACACATATTATGGTGTATAGGGAAAGAAAAAGAGAAATTAATGGAGTGTAAGAGAGTGCAAAAGGTGAGTGAGGCTTTATCAACAAACAGTGCTGAGAATATGAAAATGTATCGGAGCAGGACAAATTAGTTGAGAAATACTGGGGAGAGAAATAGATTTTGTAGGTAAAAAGAAATGTGATGAATCATTGATAGGTAGTGGGAGTACTAATAAAATTGAGGGAATATTTTACGAAGCTGCCCAATAGGCAGAGAAGTAAAGGAACTTGTAGAAGTAAGGAAGAGCCAGAAGTGAGTGTTTGGAAGGTATGTGAGCCACTGGTAAAAATGACTGGGAATAAAGCAGCTGAGAGTGATAGGAACGAGAGAGAAATGTTAATGCAGGTGGGGGAGATAATACCTATTGATTGGCAGAGGACATGCATAACTCCTCTTTTACGAGACAAAATGGGACAAAAGAGAGAGAAAGAGGGTTAGATTTATAGAGGTAAAATCTATTGAGTATACCAAGAATTGCGTATGGCAGAAATATTATTGTAAGAATTATGGGTATGGCAGAAAGTAAGACTGTAGATAGAGGAAGAGGGTTTAGGAAGATTAGGGGGATGTAGAGACCATATGTTAACAATGATGGTTTACGTGAACTGTACATAAAGGATGGACCATTTTATTGGATTTATGAATTTAGAAAAGTGAAATGATAGGATGGATAGATCAGGAATGGTGCATATATTGTAAGTGTATTGAAGAGGAAGTAACTAAAGTAGGAAAGAACTCTTATACAGATAATGAATCTCAGATTAAAGTATGCACCAGAGAGAGAGAGACAGAGAGACAGAGACAGATACAGAGAGTGACAGACAGAAAGGGAATTTTTGAGAAAACTTGGGTCTTAGACAGGGATGTGTCATGTTATCATTGATGTTTATTATAAATATAGATAAGAGTGTCAACAAAATGAGTGCTTGAGTTTATGGGGTTAAAAGATAAATATTATATAAACTGGGAGTTGACACAATTGCCCTTTGTTGATGACACAGTTAACTTGGGAGATTCTGAAGTGTAGTTACAAAGTTTTGTGGAATAATCAGGGAGGTCATGTGCAATACGTAAATTGAGAATAAGCATAGCAAAGAACAACGTAACGATAGTAACCAAAAATTTAGGTAATTAAAAACTGTATATCAGATAGCAGGGAGGGAGTAGACTTTCGGGGGAAAATTATATGAAAAAATATAAAAGAATATGGATGCTTGGGTAAAACGTGGGTTGGGATTTGAGAAATTTATGGAGACACACAGGGGGGTTAAAGCTAATGGGAAGAAGGAAATATTGAGTTCAAGGAGCTTCAACATCTAACTGGCTTGTGTTAAATCAGAGTGAACGTACGTTTTTTTTCTTCTTCAGCATTTGTGACGAAGTGCTAGGGACGGTACGGATACGTCTCACTACATATGTGGTCCAGGTTCACTAAGCATTAAATAAAGGCCTATTAGATGAATCACAGTTTAGATAATTTTTACTGAAAACGTCTTTCGAAAATATGCCACACTGCTTGGAATCCGTGGATGAATATAAATTAAAAACTCTTCAGAACTGAATATCCAATAAAAATCTCTCTTCTTTTTCTGTTTTATTCTTCTGTATCACATTTTAGAAGTTTTCCTTGTTTCAGTGCTCTATAATATATGTAATAATGTCTGTCTCCCTCTTTCTTTGACAGTGCCTCCAGACAGCGTTCGAATCCTAGACATAAATGGCAACGAGAAGAGCTCTACCATTGGTCCATATGTGCTGGGCATGACTCTAACGCTCAAATGTGTTGCTACCGGAGGTAAGTCCAGTGACACACTCACACTAAGGTGTTATCAACGAACGTAGGTACGACGTTATACTTTATCAAATTTTAATAAACAAGCTGTTGTTGGAGACTTAGTACCTGTGAAGAGATTGCATCTATCGTAAGAACTGGGGCCCCTCCTGACACTGCCTGAACATAGCAAAGTTCTTTCCTGGCTGGACTGTGTTACGGTATACACATGATTTGGCTCTACTAAATTTTCACCTTCCATTTCCTTCATGTGAAATCATCTCAGTCAGTCAACAAATGTTAGATGCAGTGAGATCAAAACTACTACAAGCATCAGCCATTGCCTCCACAAATAGCGTCTTGCTTCTAGCACTTCTGGGAAGTGATGCCATTGACAAAATTCTCGGGAAGAAACTGGAAGAGTTTAGGAGAATGGAACAACGAATAGACAATCTTGACACCCACGATGCCTTGTACTTTCTCACAAAGTGCTTGAGTCTGCCCAGGTTGACATATTTCCTAAGATATGCACCTTCATATGATAACCCTATACTGCACGAATGTGTCAGTATCATGAGGCAGATTTTAACGAAAGTTCTTAACCTTACTCTACAAGACGGGCAGTGGAACCAAGCTACACTTCCAGTCAGAGTAGGAGGTATTGGTGCTCGCTGCTTGTAGCAGAGATTCTCCCTGAACATCTTAGGGACAAGAATGGACTCCATGACCAAAAGTCCATTGACGGAGCCATGATCTGGGATAATCTAGTGGGCTGTGAAACTAGACCTGCTTCCCCCAACAAATACAAACAGTCGCACTGGGATGGCCCAGTAGTGGAGAATATAGCCTCAACAATGCTTCAGAGTGTGTCAGGGAAGGATAGAGCCCGAACCCTGGCAGTGAGAGGTCCTCATGCAGGGAACTTTCTGTTGGCTGTTCCCAAGTCCAGCCTTGGCACACACCTCAACCCAAAGACCATTCACATTGGTGTTGTCCTTCGACTTGCCCCTCCTATTCTTGCCGAACACAGGTGTATATGTGGCAGTGAAGCAGCAGACTGATTCGGGTACCATGATGTTGTGTGCCGTGAATCCGAGGGAAAGATTGCAAGACATGAGGAGGTTAGTAACATTATCAAGAGGAGCCTCACAACAGCCGGATACAAAGCAGTAAGGGAGCCACCCCAACTACGCAGATCTGATGGCAGCCAAAAGTGTGCAGATGGTATTACCCTTCAAGCCTGAACAGACCGCAAGCAGGTGATGTGGAACTACACGTGATACCTATGGCTGATACCTATCTCCAACTTAGCAGAGAGGAAGGAGGGGCAGCTGGCAGCTTCAGGGAGTCCCAAAAGTCTAGATATTAGGGAGAACTTGTCCAACATTATTTGTTTGTTAATATAGCCTCAGAGACCCTTGGCTCATGCGGAAAGAGTGCATGTAAGTTCCTTAAGGAGCTAGACGAAATACTCATAAGGGTAACTAGGGATTCCAGGGCAGCTAGTTTTCTGATCCAGCGACTCAGCACTGCTGTTCAGAGGGATAATGCCTGCTGTATTTTGGGCACGTGCCCCAGCTCTGAGGGGCTGGATGAGATTTTCGCAGTATAATTAGTGACAAACAGGCAACAATATGTACTGGATAAGTATCTCTCACACCTCATGTACTATGTATGATATTTTAATATCAATAATGTATTTCTTAAATCTTTTGTAAAATATTTTGTAATAAAATATACCTTTTGGTAAAAAAGAATGAGAAGATGGGGTGGAAGGGGAATTGGAATATTCAAATGGATTCAGGAAGAAATCCAAATATTCTTCCTTGAAGCCTTTTTATCCACTTCTCCGAAGCTGTGGGTCCCACAATTTACACCATATATATATATATATATATATATATATATATATATATATATATATATATATATATATATATATATATATATATATATATATATATATATATATATATATAAAACAATCGCAGACAGGCAATCTTAACTATGCAAGACAAGCCAAGACGGTGGAAATCTTTAGCTCAAGTGCTTTCACATTTCTCAGTGCGACATCAGGAGCTATGCAATGTTGCAAGGCATCAGCAGAAGGATGGGAAGTTTTCTCAGAGTAACACAGTTCGGGTGTGTCACCGGCCACTGCCTCTCTCAGAATGTGGCCAACGGTCGGTGCCAACTCCACACCACCACCATCCCCTTACTCCCTATATGGGGTAGGAGGATTTTGAAGATGTTAGGTATTATGAAATTAGAGGATATAATAGCCATCCCCAAGGTTTACTTAGAACAGGTCATGTGACTTGAGAAAATACTTTTCTCATTGGATACTATATATATGGAATTGCTATTATTCTGTGTAACCTTTTTAATTTATAAAAGAAAGGAACAGAATGACTTCTTTGTCTGCTTAAATGTCCTCCTCTGGAGTACTCGAATGTTCCCAGGGGTACTCAGAAGTATCTCTTCCTAAATATTGTCTACTATCCCTCTCAGTGTTAATTAATATGTCTTACTTGGGAATCTTCTATACCATTTTGATAACATTTCTGCTAATACTCTTTAACCTCACTACCTATGCTACCAATTAATCTTGTGTACCTGTCTATGTATGGCACAGTAACAGGTAAACGCATTATATAAACATTCACAACTGATGTAGCATGAAGATTTGGTGTGTAGACACAGGTCGATCACCAATCCATCATGAGACCACCTAGCATAATGAGCAGTCCTTGATTTTGTATAGCATTATTGTTTGCCATTGTGTATAATAGTCTCTACTAAATAGCTCTTGAGCTTGTATAACCCATAATTTGAGTTATACCTGGAGCGGGTTCCGGGGGTCAACGCCCCCGCGGCTCGGCCTGAGACCAGACCTCATGGTGAACCAGGGTCTGATCAACCAGGGTCTGATCAACCAGGGTCTGATCAACCAGGCTCTATACTGTATTCCTTTCATGTTTCAAGAGATAAGATTCAGTATGTTTCTTTCCATGACAGAACTGTTTGGTACAATAATCTGTGCAGCATCCTACTTCGGTGGGTGATAACAGGAACTAACGTGTTAGATAGCGTTCGACTCCTGCCCAGTCCTGCCTGGGCTATTCTGGTTTCCAGAAATTTACCTGTTTGACCAATATATGAGAGAGGATACTGAGTACATGGGACCTTGTAAACCCCATTAACTTTGTTGGAGGGTGTGTTTTTAATCAGCCTTTGTTTCACAATCCCTGTGTTTTTGAAAGCAAGGTTTATATTGATATTTTTTAATGCCTCCCGCAGACAAACCAGATTCGCATTGTATGGTAAAAGAAATACATTTTCCCTGGCCATCATTTACTTAGGTTCAGTCCTGTAGAAAGTCTTTCTTGTTGACATTAGTGCCTTCTCGACAAAATCCCGAGGATATCTCAGTTTTATTGAATATTCTGCTGATATTGAACATCTTGCTGATTTCAGCCTCTAGGTACTCTGGACCACGCATGCGAATCCGGAGTTTGTTATGAACCTGTCTAGCAAGGAATTAAGCAGCAATCAACAAGTAGCGCTACGGTTTGGATCAAGCTTCGCACCCTCAACTAATAATGTTAATTAAATAAGCTTAGGAAAATTGTTTTGCATGCTGGAAAAACACGGTGACTTGGCCCTGATACCTTTATTATATGCAAAGGTATGGTATACGAAACATTGCTCGAGCCGGTGCTCCCGAACTGCCCATTATGATTCAAAGAGCTCAGAAATGATCAGAGTTTGCACCTCTCAAGGAGTGTTAAATCTAAGGTAGTTGTTATTTTGGACAAAACTGAATATTTAGGGAAAAATGAATCATTTATTGAGTGATAATGAAACGTATGAACCGCTCATTAAAACCCCAATGACCAGGCCAACAGCCATTTCGATAAACACCTTTAAACGTTGCTGAAGTGGAATGATGAAGTAATTAAATATATGTCGGCCAGGTCAGCAACTCTACCATATCTGTAAGGGAAAATCAAGACCCATATTATATATATGCCAGGGTACCCAGCCCGTCTTATTATAAATTCAGGAGGACTAGCATCTTATAACCTATCTAAATGGCTAGCTAAACTTCCATAGTCGGTGAGATCACAGACAGACATATTAAAAATAATGTTGACCTTACTGAAAGGCTCCAAAAATTAAATGTCCCTCATGACTTTACCCTAGTGAGCTTTGATGTCACAGCTCTTTTCACCAAAGTCCCTATCCCAGACGTGCTTTCGTACTTTGAAGAGGAACTAGAAGTCCATGTTTAAAGGGAAGTACTATGCTCAAAAACAAGGTATGACAATGGGAAATCCCCTTAGCACCTTACTCAGCAACTTGTATATGGAATTCTATGAGACCAGACTTCTTAAAGACATTCTCCCTGATAAAGCTATTTGGTTCAGATACGTAAATGATGTTCTTTGCCTGATGCCTAGAGATCACTGATGAGTTCCTACCCAGGCTCAATGGTCTAATACCTTCCATTAAGTTCACTACAGAAGATGAAACAAACAACACTTTGCCGTTCCTAGATGTTTTAATTATAAGAAGTCCACTAATGTGTCGTCATACATTCACTACTATTCTAATCGCTAAAGCAGGGTAAAAAGTAGTGTTTCTCACAATGTTCCTGAGAGCCTTGTTCATCTGCAGTCCAGAGTATCTAGAGGATGAAATCATTAAGATATTCACCATAGCCATAAAACTGACATATCTTAGGGATTTTGTCGAGAAGGCACTAATGTCAGCAAGACTTTCTACTGAACTGAACCTAAGGAAGTGATGGTCAGGAAAAATGTTCTAGTTTTACCATACAACGAGAACCTGGTTTGCCTGCGGGAGCCATTAAAAAAGATCAATGTAAACCTTGCTTTCAAAAACACAGCTATTGTGAAACAAGGTTAATGGGGTTTACAAGGTTCTATGTACTGGTCAAACCGGTAAATTTCTGGATACCAGAATAGCCCAACATAAATACTCAGTCAGGACAGGACAGG